AAGGGGGCCCCCCACGCCGTGCCTTCTCGGGTGCGTGTGATCGGTCCCGGACGCAGGGTGTTTTAGGGGACTGCGTGACTGTTCGATCTCCCTCCCAGCGGGGAGGAGCGGCGCGCGGACGCGGGATGGTCCTCGCCTGCGGGTCCCCGCGCTGAGCCGCGCGCCGCGCCCGTCCGCCTCCCGCTCCGACAACTACTTGTGCAGCCGCCGGGACCCCACCGAACTTTGCGGGAGGACGCCGTCCGCGTTCGATCCGGTGGCTCTCGGCAGGAGGTTGGCCGGCGATCCTAACCCCCCTCCGTCACCATGCTGGGGAAGAAGCCCGCGGGGAAGGGAGCGGGGCGCGAGGCCGGCTCGGACGAGCACAGCCCCTCCGGGGGGCGCGCCAGGCCCCCGTGCGCCATCCTGGCCACCCTGCTCTCCGGGGTGGCCCTGGTTTCCTGTCTGTACCTCGGGGTGAAGACCAACGACCTCCAGGCGAGGATCGTCGCTCTGGAATCCGCGAAAGGGGCGCCTTCCTTTCCCCTGCTGCCCGAGACGGCGGATCAGCTGAAGGCCATCGTGCAGGAGAACGTGGAGCGGCTCCTGGCTCAGGTGTGAGGGGTTGGGGAAGCCGGGGAGGGGCGGGGGAGTTGCACGTGGATAGGATCTTGCACAGGTGTGAGTCTGTGTGTGTGTGTGTGTGTGTTTGTGTGTGTGCAGGGTCAGCCTCCACCCTGAGCGGATACACCCTGTTGGTCTGGCCTGTGTGAAGCGCTGTGAAGGCTGGCGGTCGTGGATGTTTGTTCACCTCCCTTCCTTGGTTTACCCTCCAAGTCTGCGTGTATGATCTTCCCTGTCTCTTCCTTAATGGTTGCACGGTCTGCTGCAGCGGGCGGGGGGGGGGGGGGGAGAGAAGCGAAGCTGGGAAGGCAGCAGGGGCTTTCTTTGCCTTGGCTGTTTAGTTCTGTGGCGTCTGGGCTGACAGCCTTCTCCGTTGCATGGAGAATACTCCTTGGAACGCTCACATCTGTTCTTCATATACCAAGGTTAGGCCTTATCAATAAAGAAAGGTAAGCACGCTTAAAAGTGAACTGAGCCTATAGATTTAAAGTTAATTTCACACGGCCTTCTTTTTCATATTAAACGTTTGAAAAATTGGGGGAAAAACTTTTCTTTTAGGGGGGGAAGGGACGGGTCAGAGATGTAGTACCCAGATATTTATGAATGAAGAATTGAAAGGAATGTCTTTAAAGATGGCTTAGACTCCAAGTAGGGAGGGGATAAGGAGTTTTCCTGCCAGTAGCGAGATGCAGTAGTTGCAGCCTGAATGTGATTAAAGTGCGGCTACAATATTGGCTGTTTTTTATGGCGTGAGTACTGTTACCTTTTGCCTAAGATCCATGCATTTATGTAAATGCTGTTTATGCAGACTATCAGACGTTATTAGTAACTTAGCCACAGAAGAAGAGAGTTTCTAAAGAACTCATGGATCTAGTTTACTCCTGCTAGCTCTTAATACTTTTTTCCCCTCCTACAGAAATCCTATGAACATATGGCTAAAATAAGAATCGCAAGAGAAGCGCCTTCAGAGTGCAACTGTCCAGCAGGTAAAAAATGGAACTTATTAACAAGGTTTCCCCTGGAGCAGACCATTTGCAAACAAAGTGTCTGTCAGGTCTACCTGGAATAGTAACAGAGAAAGAATGCAGCCCCAACTTGTTTTAATAAAATCAACATGTCTCCATCAGAAAGATGGCAAGTAAAGCCCCAAATATTATTTTAAGCAGCATACCAATGTCTATTGGGGGAAAGCAAATGAGCTAATCACCATGGAAAATACAGGGAAGTGGATATACGAAGTTCTTTGCGTCCAGGATTGACAGGTCATCTTCAATGTTATTAAATAATTTCAATGTTTGTGGTGAAAAAGGTCTACACAGCTGTCAGGACTTGATGTCTAATGTTGCATTAGTGTGGGGTTGTTGGTGGTCATGATGTTATATAGGTAAAGGACCTGCACTTGCTCACCTAATCTGTAGCTAAAAATGAAGACTAAAAGGAAATGAGTTCTTCATCTTGAACCTCTGATGACAAACTATTTTCTTCTCAGTGACTTTCCAGGAAAAGACTCTTCCATGTTGATCATTTTTTTTTCTCTGTAGTTTTAGGAAAGGTCAGTAACAGTGTATTAGAAGGATGGAGAAGAGACATTAGTGAATGAGCCCCTCCCCCACCTGTAATCATGAAATCCTCATTCACAGACCTCTGAACCTGGGTAGTTGTCTGTAGACTTAGCAATTTAAAAGCTCTTGGAATATGGCCAGGGGAAGGCATTTAGTGGATTCAAAGATATATAAGCCATAAAAACTCCCATGAATCTCGAGATGTTCTTCAGATAAACATGGTAAATGTGTTTATGAACATTCTAGTTTCTTTCATCATTATGCATGGAGAATGAGTCTTTTTCTTCAGTATTGAACTCTCTGTTTCAATGTAGTCATGTGCTTCATGATGACGTTTTAACCCATGACAAATACAATAGCCCTACAAGTTTATATAACCTAGTGATGTCATCATTGCTTAGTTTGAGCAAGTGAGCTATGACATTCACTCAATGGTGAGATAGCTATAACAGTCCTTAGAATGCACCCCACTTATGATTAAGCTGTAGGTGACTGAAAAGCTTAGTGCCTGTTGGGCACTGGTTGCTCATGCCTGGAATCCTGACTACTCAGGAGGCTGAGATCTGAGGATCAAAGTTCAAAGCCAGCCTAGCCAGGAAAGTCTATGAGACTCTCATCTCCAACAAACTACTCAGCAAAAACCAGAAGTGGCACTGTGGTTCAAGTGGTAGAGCTAGCCTTGAACACAGAGGCTCAGGGACAGTGTGCAAGACCCTGGACAAAAACAAAAAAAAACTTAGTGCTTATATTTTCTCATATTTTGAGATTGTTTTCCTCTCATGATAACTTGTTTGGGTATAGCTTAGAAATGTCCAATTCCAGGTTAAAAGTTTTTTTAACATTTATATTCTACCACATCATTGACTATGTTGGAGCTATATTCTTTTCAGCGAAGGTTTTTGATGAGAAGACAAAGAATGGATGTTTGATGTATGCTTCATTCTTAGTAGTTGAGAAAGACTCAGAAATCAGATATTCAAGGGAAGAACTTTTCCAGGGCAAGAATGAACTAACACCCTCCCTTTGACCTGCAGGAATGATTTAAATTCCCAGGACACTGAGTATCTATAGGACTTTACAAATCACTGAGGGAAGAACATTTTTTTTTTTAAATATACAGTACACTGTGTGTGGGGACTTAGGGTTACTTTGGAGGATTCATCACAGAGTTGGTAAAATGTTGAAAAGTGGCCACACTGAGTTCTATTTCCAGAGGAGATATGACTGTTTTTATGATGTTTCATGTAGGCCAGTCATTGAACTCTGGTCCTGTGGGAGGAAGCGATTATCCTTTAGAGTTTGCTGTATATTCTCTAGGAAGATTATTGTAGACTATTTTCTTTCCATGTTAATGTGGTAAATGAATAATAAAAAGCAATTCCCTTGGTTTTTATTTGTTGTTGGCTCTCCCTCACAGCTGCTTTCCTTCTTGCTACCACTAGAGCTCCACATTACATCAGTTTTTAACCTGGCTATTTGGAGGTAACCTTTGGAAGGTGTGCCCTACAACACACAGAACCAAACAGGGATCTTGCTGACAGATTCCCAGTTATAGGGATGATACTCAGTTCTGCTTGTTGAATAACCAGACATCACCCAAATGCAGGCGTGGCTTGAAAGTAAAGGATTCTGGAGAAAACCAGCTGGTGGAGTATTGTCTTAGGGAATGAACTGGCTGGCCAAAAAGGATTAGAAAGAAGATATGCATTTCCCACCTGATTTGGCTTGAACCTCGATTCTCTCTCTGTGACTAAGAGTTGTCACCCAGACATCTGTTTGTAGGGCAGAGCGAGACGAGTGTGACCTCAACTCAGTTCCTGTGGACACTTGCCCATCCATTGAAGTTGACACTCTTGCTGACAGGCAGAGTCTTAGAGCTGAGGCCTGGTAGCAAAGAAGCGAAGCTGTGCTGTTTGTAGTCACTCTAATAGCTTTTGATGGCACTCAAGTCTCACTGGGATTTGTCCAGGTAGATTACAAGGAAATCATAACATTTATAGATAACTGTTTTTTTTTAAATTACTGAGCAAGGAACCTCTATGGGGACTATTTATTGAATGCCTTCTCATGCTAGGAGAAGCCCTTTCTGATATAATTTTTTTTTATAACTAGGAGAGTTGTAAGTGCTAGCAATCTTAGGATTCATTCCCTGGGCAGAGGGACTCCAAAGCCTAAAGCCTAATGAGGAATCCAGAATGAGCTGGATAATTCTAGACTGGAATCTGGAATCCTACATCTGTTACTAAATAAGTGTGTGACTGTGGTCAAACTAATGCGTTTCATTGCTTTTCATTTCCTCACCTGAAAAAAAAGGACTAGAAATTCCTTGTGTGACAATTTATGTAAATAGTTTGGCATATTAGTGGCTCTAGCTTAAGTAATACTACTCTCTCTCTCTCTTTCTTTTTGGTATGATTCTCACAAAGGCTAGGCAAACTCTTACCACTAAATTATGCCCACAGCTCACTATTCATTTTCTTGGATTCTTTCTTCTGGTCCACAGAGCTACGTGGTAAGGTGGGTAAAGAAATGTTGCCAACTTGCTCAGAACCCAAGGCGAATGAACATGATGCTTAGTTAAACATATGTAGATCATTTATAAGGATAATCTTGCTAGTCAGTATCTCTTGGTGCTGTAGCAGTGGAATTTGGGGTTTTCATGATACCTAGTTTTATCTCCAGAATGTTTGCCAAAATTACAGGGGAAACATTGGACCATTTAGGCTGAAGCATACTAGGTAGAAAGACTTGGCTATCAGATGTTAACCAAAAGGAGTATCTTCACCATATGACTCTTAGACCTTTTAAAATAAGATCTTGAGGTAAATCTTATACTAATACACTAAGATTTGTAACTTACACAGTTGGACTGTCATTACTATACCATCTTTGTCCTCTGTAGAAATGTTTGTTTACCTTTTTTTTTGAGATTGAGATGCTCTAGAAAACCAAAGAAAACTGGATTTCAAGAACCCCCAAATAATTTTGAAAGCCCTTCCACACATCAAAGCTGTGTTTAGCAGATTTGATTTAGCAATGGTAGAGACACGGAAATAACAGCTGGTCTTTGTGGCTTGATTTCTGTCAAACCTGACCATCCCTAAGAGAGTAACTTGGCTCTTTACTATGGCTATAGAATTCTACTTCGGGTTGTGTTCTTTGGATCTTCCATGAAGTATGCATAAAGCAGGCATCTTTATGGAAGGGAAGAACAATGGGAATGAGGCCACCAATCAAGTGATAGGTAGCTCACGTTCATCAGTAGTGTTAACTCCCTGGCCTATTAGGTATAAGAACCTCTATGACCTCATCAATGGAGAATGGGAGTGGGAAATTGAGAAAGTAGCCCTGGCTTTGTCATTAACATGTTACACAATCTTGCGCAAATCATTCCGACATCTGGCTTTTACAAACTAGTCACATCTCTGAAAGTAAGAGCTAGACGATAACGATTTAGGGCTTTAGTCAATTCTCTACCTAGAATGAATATGCAATAACTATGCTAGATTTTGGGAATTTGCTCACAAACCAGGCAGAGATGACACCAGACATTTATTTGAAAATGACTTTTCATGTGGGATAGGCAAAAATCAAGAGAAGAGTATAATTTGGAGCATATAACCTAAATCGGTGACATTTTTCTAGTACAGGAGGCTGTTTAAATTGTTTGGGTGTAGGGGAAAGAAAACTATATCTCGGTCTGAGAAATTCAGGGTAGAAGAAAATATGGCTTCTGAGAAGTAAAATCCGTAGGAATGGATAAAAAGCGGATTGACAATGCTTCATTAGCCTTTTGACTTGCCAAGAGTTGATGGGTAGGTAGATAAAGGTACACTGGTACCTGATTTGCTGACACCCTGACTAAAGCAAACATTAATCTTTAAGGTAGAAAGGACAACCTTTTCTATATGATGATTGTCTATATGATGATAGTCTGTTCTCTTTGGTAATAGTGAGATTTAAGTTGAGGAAGAGGAGACTTCCTGTGTAGGGTGTTGAAACAGCTAGAGATAAAAAATTAGACTAGAAGCCAGGTGCTGGTGGCTCATGCTTACTTAGGAAACTGAGATCTGAAGGTTGAGGTTCAAAGCCAGCCTAGGCAGGAAAGTCCACAAGGCCCCGACCTTCAGTGACCACCAAAAAGCAGAAATGGAGCTGTGGCTCAAGTGATAGAGTGCTAGTCTTGAGTGAAAAGGTTAGGGGACAGTGCCCAGGCTCTGAGTTCAAACCCCAGTACCAGCATACACACAAAGTTAGATATTTTCCAGGGTCTTTCTGTATTCTCTACATGTATGAAATGACTATATACAAGGCAACTAAACACAGGCAGGTGCAAGTACACCTCATTCCCAAGTAGGAGCAGTACATCCCCTGTGATAGATGGAGGATACCTCAGTTTGAGGATGGAAATAAATGTTAACTAT